CCACCGACCATGACTAGTCCTGGCACCAAGGCGTCCTGGCTCTCGCAGCCGATGGTGAAGAGCGTGGTGGTGTATCGCAACGGGGACCCTTTCTTCCCGGGGCGACGCATTGTCATCAATGAGAAGAAGGTGTCCAACTTCGAGGTCTTCTTGAAAGAGGTGACAGGCGGGGTGAAAGCACCCTTTGGAGCTGTACGTAACATCTATACCCCCCGGGGTGGGCATCGTGTCCGGCAGCTGGAGGAGCTTCAGAGTGGAGAGCAGTATGTGGCTGGTGGCAGGGAAGCCTTCAAGAAACTCAAGTGAGTGGCTACAAAGTAACATAAGATTTATGTGGAACTTGAATATCAGCATTTGTGGTTTGGCTCTGTGGCAATACTTCAGAGGAACCCCCACCCCTTTTATTAGGCATTGGACAAAGAGGACTTGAAAGCTGTGACCCAAGGAAAAAAGAAAGGTACTTTTAACAGATAAAACTGCAAAAGACCTTTAGAGGTGAGCTGTTGCCATCAGTCACACAGTGCCATCTCCTTGACATGATGGTAGAGGAGAAACAGCCCTTTAACCCCAAGGACATGCAGCAATGGCATGTTGTGATATGTGTGCTTAACTGAGGGGTGAGTGTCAGTATTTGTGCTCAGTGGTAACAGCTGTAGAAAGGTGGAGTGTTGACAGTCCTGCCATGAAGTTGATGAGCCTGAGAACTTACTTCCCAACACAAAAGGAATTTAATTCCTTTCTTGCTTATTTTAAAAAATTATAATATATTCTACCCAGCCATCCACCTCTTCATCACTTCATTTTGGGTAGGTATATAGCCTTTTTATGACCAAAATAGCTCAGTCCCTCCTGTTATTTAAAAGATGACTGTTTGCTTTCTTTTCCCTGCCTAAACACCAAGAATTAAGCTGTCAGTTTCTCTGTTTTCTAGTGAGTGACTGGGAGAGTATTGTGGAGATCTGGGCTTTTAGGTGTGTTTTCCAAGTGGCTCTGCATGTGATCAGTAATGGTTCTTAATTCTGGCAGTGAATTTCATGGTCTCAGTTGCCTAATTATATGTTTTATTCAGTCTTTGTAGGCATTTTTCCTACAGTTGAATTAAAAAAAAAATCTCACAATTAACAGTCCCATCTGGAGGTGGTTGGGAATTTATATATTAAACTACCAGCTTTACGGGACCTCACTCATCTTGGTTGTGTAGAGTTGAGGACACTACATTTTTCAGAAGAGCTCATGATGTTTCAGGACAAAACCCTGTGTGTAACAAACAGAATCTCTGTCAGCACTCTTGCCATTTTTGTCACTGCTTCTGAAGATTTATTGAAGCTTCTTGTGCTTCAGTTGCAAAGCTAAAGAGAAAGATGTATGACAGGCTAAATTATAAGCCCCTTTCTGTACTCTCTTCCATGTCAAATGCAGTGCTCAGCTCTCAAGAAAACTGTACCTTATCTTTTTGGTATTAAATCCTGTGATTCTGTGGCTTAAAGTTGTTAGTTGTCAGCCCATCATGTTTCACCTCCCTGAATGTGTTTTATGTTCAACAGACAGGCTAAAAGTAAGTACGTGTTTGGCATTAGCATGCACTGTGTAGAGAATTGGGCACTCTGAATCTATTTTGGGTGGGAAAAAGCATTTCTTTTTGTAATTTCATATTTTATGGTCAGAGTTTTATGGTGAGAGCTTTTCAGACTTTTAAGGTTGCAACATGCAACAAGATACCCAAGTATTTAAGGTCAATGAAGAGAATACTTTTAAGAAAAGCTAACCTAAAGGACTCAGTAAAAGCAGACTGATTTATATATCCCTTGATAGTATGCCATAGTCCTGTGCTGTAGGGAGGATGAATGGGATGACCGAGAACTTTTACATTTCTACATTCAAAGTTGGAGTTCTTCACTATTAATATTTATTTATATAGTGCTGTAAATGTTGGCAGTGCTTTTACAAGCATTATTTAAGACAGACTGATATAATATTGATCTTGTTCTTAACTGGGTTGTAGACAGAATGATAATTAGCCAGAAAGATTGGGGAGGGGGGGAGGGGGTAATTGAAAGGGATGGTTTTCTGGAAGGAATTGAAGGAATTAAAGAAAAGAGCATATGTTTGTGTGTGTGGCATAGGCAAAGGTAAAGCAGTTGCAGCTGTGGGAGATCAAAGCATCTGCCCTAAAGGATCTGAATCTGGTCTGATAGCAGCAAGAAGTTTGTACATTTCTTACAATTTTTTTGCAGTGATGCTTGTTGGGCACATTTATTGCTGTGATAGACTATGCAGGGCTGAACTTTGAAATAGAGGCTTGTGGCACTGATGTGTGGGAGCATAGTGGAAAGGAGAGGGTATCCAAGGAGAAGCAGAAGCCGAAAGTGTCATTGTTCGACTTTGAGCAGTGCATTTGTTTCCTCTCAGATGCCTTATATTGAGAACAGAATCTTTTACTTTCCTGTTCACAGTGAATTCTAGACTAAACTGTGCTCACCTTTAGTATGTGAACCTCTGTCGTTCCAAGCCCTGAATCTTAACATCTTCAGATAGATACTTCTGAGGGCATGTAGTCAATATAAATTGCTGATAAGTTTCATTTTTTTTAAATAAAAATTATCAGTATTTTAAAGTTCTGCTTTTAGAAAAATATGTAGAAATTTTCTTTAAAGGAAGGATTATTAGCCAATGTTGGGAATTTCCATAACATGTATCAAGTTTCCCAGCTTGTTTTGTCATTTACAGGTGTGCTAAGTGAATACAAGCTTTTTTTGTGTATATGCAGTGAGCTGTGTTGGTATATTGTAGTTGTTGCAGTTGTGAGTGAGAATGCACATTCGGGCCTGCATCCCTGTGGAGTTCTTCCCTGACTCTCAATTTCCTGAAAGAAAACTGTCTAGGCTGGAACTGGTTTAGATTTTTAGCTTTTTTCCAGCATGCTACTCTGCCCTCCTCCTTCCTTTGCCTATTTACTTGTATCTTGTCCTCATTGGTTAATGGCAGATTGTCCTCTCATCAGCAGTGTCTCTTTAAACAACACTGTAGTTTCATCACTGGCTCGGGTAGTCATTGGGTGGAAATATTTCTGCTTTCTTAGCCATGGGAATACTTTTGTAAAGTTTTTGGTCTGGGATTTTTTTGGGTGCCCTTATCTCAAGAAAAGCTTTTGGCTCTATTTAGACCGTTTCAGATTTGTAGATCCCTGAAATTTGATAACTGAATGCCCAGACCTCTGTAAAGTGAATTTAAACCTTTGACTATATATTTGCTTTTCTTTGTCAGTCCTCTTAGCTCCCCTCCAAGTAATTCACAGACGCCCAGAAAACAAGAATCACAGTCAGTAGCTGTTGTTATAGGCTGTTGAAATTGTTTTGTCTGAGGTGTTTATTTCTTTTCAGTCCTGCAGGCTTTTAAGACTTCTTTTTTTTTGGTCTCAAGAGAACTCGTTCCTTTTTACATGGAGAAGCTTGCAACAGTTGTTTTTGTTTGTTTTTAAACATGAGGCTTGGACACTTTGTTTTTAAACATGGTCCTATATTGCTACATTTACCTTTTTCAAAGCATTGGCATGCACTTTCAAGCATTGCCTGGAAGCCTTGCTATGTCTTACTGTCCCCATACACTGAAGCCTTGAAATCCATGTGACCATTCTGTGGTACCATGATAAAAAAGTGCCATTCCTTCAAAGAATGAACAATGCTTTTTCTTTCTCTCTCTCTCTCTTCCCCCCCCCCCCCACCCCTTGCCTCTATACCTTCATGCAGGTCTCATGAATTCTCAACTTTGGCCAGGCAGAAAAGTTTCCTCTGGCAAACAAATCTCATTCTAGTCATTAGCTACAAACTGGAAGGCTGCAGATGTATTATGGGCTCTGAGGTCCTTTGGTGAGCCTTGCACTGATGCTTGCCATCAGGTATTCCTGACATTCTCAGATAGCGTCTTCTAGTCTTAAAAGCCTGCCAAAGCACCTGTGGTTTCCCACTGGAAGTAGGGATTAGGGAGAACCTGTAACAAATGCAGGTCACCTGATGTTGGATTAGATGCTCCCGGTGTAGAATAGATGCTCCAGCCATTTTTGTTCTCACAGAATAGTTTGTGTTGGAAGGGACATTTAAAGGCCATCTAGTCCAACCCCCCTGCCATGAGCAGGGACATCTTCAACTAGATCAGGCTGCTCAGAGCCCCGTCCAACCTGGCCTTAAATGTTTCCAGAGATTGGGCATCTACCACTCTCAGCAGAAGGTGCTGAAAGGTGCTGCTGTACTGAGTTATAACTGCCCGCAAAGGTGTCTCTTCCTACAGTGCTGAGAACTAGAAACATCTTGCAGTGCCAGCAGCTTCTGAGAGCTGCATTTGTGAGAAGAGCTGCTCTCATGGCTCTCAGAGTGCTGACAAGGGAAAGGAGTTGGTGTAGTCTGGGTACCTAGACAGTTGCCTGTTTGCCGGTCTATGGGTTACTTATAGTTGAAGACTTATTTAATTCCTGTTGTTTGGAAAGGCAACATACAGTTAGTGTCCATCACTGTGTGTTTTAACTAACACTTTTGTGTTAATGCTTAATGTTTTTGTGGGAATATGTACTCTGATGAAGAGCAACATTATTCAAATAGATGTATTTTTTTTCTTGTCCAGTTGAGGTTTGTGTTTTATATATTCATAAAATAATTATAAAGATGCTATGGTTCATCACAACCAAGAGAAACCAGGATATACAGTGTTCAGATGTGTCCACATCCTATTGAAATACAAGTGGTGTAGGTCCTTTTAAACTTTAGCTGATGCCCTGGGTTAAACTTGGGTATGGAGGAAAGCTTTAAATCTATCAGAGACTTAGTGTGAGAAACTAAGAGGCAAGATAATGACTTTGAAAACTCTGGTAGGTTGATATTGTCCCGAGATTTATTAATCCACCTCACAGTAGTACATGAGCTTCTTTCTGACAAGGGAGTTATTGACAGTCTATCCTAATCACCAGTGACTTGAAGGTACATGGTTGGTTCTCCCCTGTGTTTTGTATTAACCCAGAGGGCTAGCTTTCAAGTTTGTATTAACACTCCATTAAAATCTTGAATTGGTTACTTTTTATGTTGAGGCATGGTGAATTTTAAGAGCTTCATGTATGAAAAAAGTGCAGAAATATTTGTATTGTGTAAGTTAGATGTTCTGTAAATAATCATTACTGTTGTCCTTCCACAGCTATTTGGACATTGGAGAAACAAAGAAAAAACCTGCTGAAGTCAATAATGAGGTAGGATGTCTGAAATATTTAAGAAGTAAACCTGCAGTTAATGTTAGTGACATGCCTGCATTTGTGACTGTTTTTTAATATATATTTATAATGTTTCATAATAATAATACAATTATCTAGAATTCTGAACATATTCTTTCAGTGATTATTACTCTGATTGCTCTGAGCATGATGCACTGATTGTCTTTGGCTCAACTTTCTCAGTTGCTTCATCCACTTAAAAACTTTCAGTAAAGAAAATCTCATGTTGTTATCACTGGATCTGGTCATAAACCTAAGGGAGATTTTTTCATGCAGAAAAAGATGGTGGGAATAAGACTTCTGGGAGTTTCTTCAAAACTTGGTATTTTCTCTGGAGAAAGGAAATTTTTGTTTGAAAAACTCACACTTAGTTGAAATGCTTTTCCCAGTCGTTGCCAGTATCAGCTGTAAACTTCTAACTAGTTCTAGCCCATAATTCTCCAAAGTCACCTGTTTCTCTTCAACAGTGCTATGCTGTAGCCTGAGGAGATAACGGCAGGCTTCAAAAAACACTATGTGGTTTTTTGTGAGACCCATGAGACTGCATTATTTTTACTGTTTTATTCTGTATGGAGATAGCAAAGATTTCCAACAAACATTTGAATTACAGATTCTGCCTGACAAGAAGCATCAGCTCACTATTTTTTCAATTGCTTTTACCTTGTGCTCTCATGCCAGGTTTCCAGCAATTTAATGGTTTGTGTAGCAGGTGTCTCCAGACAGTAGGACACCTTGTACTAAGAGACCCTCAAAAGTGAGGCCGTAGTGCACTGATGACATTTGCTGCAGTACTCGGACACTTCTTATTCAGAGGCTATGAAATATGACACCTGCATTTTATAAATGATCATAACTTTGTTACTCTTTTTTTTTTCCATTCAAGTGGGCACAATCAGCAGGAAAATCAAACTCAAGTCAGAGATTTGATTTGCTGCTACAAGTACCATATAAATTTACTCTAAACTGGATTTTTTTTCTGGTTTATTTATTTATGCAATTGACCAGAACATTACAGAGAGAGTTTTGTTGGTTTTGTGTAGCTATTCATGTCTCCCTGTTGTTTGGGTCTTTTTTTACAAAGGAAAGCGAACTATTTTAAAAAATAGGAAAAAAATGAATTAAACACTGATGAGGCAGCACGGTTTTACTGTGTTGCTGACGCGTGTATAAAACTGAGCAACATACCTTCACATATCCACTACCTAAGCTTTCCCATGTCTTTTATTCATAAATTCCATTGTTGACCTACAGAATTTTCTTGTTCTAGTCCTGAGTCTCCTCTGATCAAACTTTGTGAATCTTGCTGAAACTAGTTACTTGTGGTGTTATAAGGTGCACAGGCAGAGAATCAAGTAATTCATCTCACTTTTAATTGTGATCTAAGAAAGATACCATAATTTTGGGGGGAGGCAAAATGTTTGTACAATGGCAATATTGCACTTATCTGAACCTTCAACACATAAAACATAATTCTGAAGCAAAAACCCCACATTTGGATGTATGACCAGTCTTCACTATTTTTTCTGAACACCTGAATGTGTGGATAGCACCACATTTTATGCTAAAGCAGTGTCTTGGTGAGAAAGAAAATTATTCTTGCATATCCAGAACAAGAAAAATAGAACTTGAGAAATTGCTTCTAGTTATCTCTGAAAATGTGATAGTGTGCATTCACTATCATGTGTGACTCCTGTTAATAGTGTGCAGTGTGACTAATTCCATATGCCCTTTGCTGAGAAGGTAGTTGTCTTCATGGAAGACTCTTAACCAAATCTCCCAATACTGCCAGTTATCAGGACAACCACAGGCTTGCTACTTTAAGGGTAGTTTTAAGGCTGATGATTTTGCAGCAAATACTTAGCAGATTTTTGATATAATAGAAAATCTGTGCAGTTGGAGAAGTAGTTGTAGAAGTTGTGAGTTTTTTACTTACAGTTGCATGTTTGGTAAGAGAGGCTTCTATTATTTCTTCTGGAATAAGTGCTCACTGTATATGAACACTTTCAGCCATCTCTCAGTGCTTTGAAGTAAACTGGTATAAACCATCCATTATCTCAGCTTTCTTTCTTCCTATTTGACTTATGTTTTCAATCTTCACAGTCTCTGTGGAGAGCTTAAATCCCCATGTTGCGTTTAACCTTACGTGATTAATTTATTTGAGGAGTCATAAAAATGAGATGAAACCTAGTAATAGTCTACAGATTTTTTTATCTGGGCTTATGAATAACACAATTGTTTTCATGCCTTAATCGTTTAGTCCTAGGAATGAACTTTCAAGGGGCTAGTAACAGTTTTAATGCCTAAATATATTTATGTTAAAACAATTTGAGGAAGCAAGTTCTGGTTTTACTTTTTTTGAGCATTCGCTTAGAAATCAAAAACCTAGATGGTTTGGACCATCTAGGACCAGGAAACCAGCATATTTTTGATCATTCGCTTAGCAATCAAAAACCTAGATGGTTTGGACCATCTAGGACCAGGAAACCAGCATTATTGCTACATTTTTATTCTCTTTGATTCTGCTGGATTTGCATCAGCAAACAAAAAAAAATCATGTTTTTCCATGGAGCCTTGTAGCAACCTTTGATGCTAGCCTACAAAGGTGCTTTGCTTTCATAAGGCATTATTTTAGATTGAATTTCAGAAATAAAATCCTCCCTGTTTGTTTCATTAGAAGAAGAAAAAAAAAAATCAGTGTATGTGTGAATAACAACATTGCTAAAGAGAGAAATTTATGGCTCAGTCCTGCAAGTTCAGGATGGTGTAGTTTATGAATTGTCTCAAAGACTTCAGTAGGAAGATTACCACGGAGTTATGCACGTACAGAGAAATTTGTGGGTCAAGTCTGAGTTTCTAGTGTTCTGGTGAGCTGGGGTGAGAGGAGAAGGAAAGAAATGAATAAAATTATTTGGTTTATTATTTGGCTCACTGCAGCTTTGCAGGCTTCTTGCAGATCAAGGACCAGTGTGCTAGGTGTTGAATAAAAGCTCACTGATGGCCATACAGGCAACTCCAGGCTAACATCGCGGTGCATTTTCAGACTGATCTTTACCAGGGCAATTCCTGCTCTCTTTGTGCTGGTGCTGAGCTCCACCTCTTTTTTTCATTCCTTCCTTCCCTTGCTTCTCTTCCTTCACTTCCTTTCCTTCCTCTCTCCCCTCCAACCCCTCAAATGTTTTTAGAACACAGTATAATTTGCCAGGGCTCCCACATTAATGCTCTGGATACCAGCCCATTCTCATGACCTCAGTAGTGCTGTTGTTAGCTGGAGCCTGGAGACAGCAAAGACTGTTCTTCAAGCATGCTCCTGGGGATTGCCTCCCACCTTTCTCACCTGGCAGCTGGCCTTGCTCTGGCCATGGCCTCAAGGGTGAGCAGTCACAGCAATAAATGGCCTTGTGCCACAGTACTCCTGAGTGCTGGTGGTGCATTTGGAACTGGTGCAGGACTTTTTGTTGCCCACAGGAGGAGATGGTCTTAGAGCTGTTAGAGCTGGTTTCCCCTAGACCAAGTCTTGGAAGCACATTGATGCTGGCCTGGTGGTGATGACAATTTTTCTGTACCTGCGTAGTGCCGTATATCAAGGATCTGAAAAATTCAAAAAGGTAGCACAGAAACAGTATTTGAGAAATTAATGTTCAGTGATTAAGGATGCTATCATCATGCTTAGATACAAGGGTATCAATTCTGGTTGTATGAAGCACACCTAATTTGGCATTTCCTACCTCATGAGTGTTTCTTGGGCTGGGTTTTTCTCCAGTAAAACGGTTACAAATATCTATTTCTGATTCTGGTTAGTGAGGAGAGAGGCAAAAGGAAGAAAATCTTATGCAGCAGCTGTACATTCTGTATTTGTATGCAGCTGTAGGTTTTCTTTTGTGTATGTTAAATTGCCAAATGTTTGACATCTGCTTTTGGATGTTTTTTCTTTAATGTTATTCTTTGAAGGCAGCTTCTCAATTGCTTTAAATTTACATGAAACTAGAAAATGTGTGTCAAACTAGAATTAAATAAGAAAAAAATCATGCTCAAGACAGTGTAAATACGGTGACCTACATTCAGAAAGAAGAATAGTTAGGAAATGTAAAGCACTAAACCCTCTTCTCACTTTTCTCATAGAGTGACAAGACAGAAAAGGTAGTCCATCAGAAATAGGTTTCTCTTCTTTACTGAAATCTCTGTCCTGGTGTTCCAGAGAGGGGAAAAAAGAAAAAATTAAGGAGAGTTCTCCACCTCATGTATTCTGGGAACTCACCTAATAAAGTCCTTTAGCATCTGTTCTTGCAAGGTGCTGAGATTTAACATTTGGGAACAGGTTCTGTCCCTGATGAGAGCAATATTATTTCTCTCTGTTATGCCCTGGTTCAGTTTTAGCTGGAGCTTCTCAAATACCATGGTCTGTAAGTTGCACCTTACTGTGCCTGACACGTTTGGAGCTAACAAGGGTTTACGGGTAGTGAGCACTTGTGTTCTCTCTGTGTCCTCTACAGCTGACAAGAGGAGCTCTGGGGAAGGTTTTATCAAGAAGGTCTTAACATAGATCTGTTGTAACAACACAGCAATGAACCAATTATGTAATGTTTTATAATTCATTAAGCACTATCCATCTATTTAATGTGAGAAGTGGAACATGCAAATAGCTGTGATTGTCTGTAAGATGGGTTAGGCTAGTTTGAGAGGACACATTTTTTTCTGTCTAAACAGCTTTATAGATGTTTATAGATGAGGGTCTATACCTCTAAATACCTTAATAGTATCAGTAGCTGCTTTCACCATAGGCTGTCTTCAGTGAAAGATAGATGAGGTAGAAAGACAGTATTACATGTCCCCCATGAGTAGTGTCAGCATCCAAAAGCGCATAAGCAGAGCAATGCAAGAAAGCTTGTATTTCTACTTTTTTCCAGTGTATCAACTGCATATAGCTGTTTAATTTCAAGGGCTTTTCTTTTAAAAATAAACATTGTTTTAAAAATGGTTGA